CTCATGTTATCTCCAGCTGTCTATACAATTTTACGTATATCTGTGAGAGCAGTTACATTGGAAGAACAGAAGGAAGGTCATACCTCCGATTTTCTGAACACGCACCGAAAAGCCTATGTCTAAACGGAACAAATGCATTGAAGAGTGCTGCATCCAGGCATCTCCTTTAGGCAGGTTGTGCGGTGGACGTCACAAGATCCTTCAAAATTATCAATAGGCAAGAGAGTTCATTGCTCCTTAAGTTTGCAGAAGCAATCTCCATCAAAAGCCTGCAACCCGATTTATGTGCGTGTTCAGAAGGAGGCGTTTATCAGTCTTTCTTTGCCCTGGTAACTGAATATTTTCATCCTTCCTTTCAATTGATTACGTGATGCAGAAAGTCTCCATTGTGTATGACTGAAATTGATCCGGACAAAGTGGGCATTTTTATATATATTATTATTTTATGCGTTTATTGACTGATTGATTTTTGTTTAAAATTGAACTCTGCACAAGCACGTTGAATTTATTTCTGTTGACATACTTAATAATGATTTTGGGCTTTAAGCAGCTGATGAGAAGCCAGCAAAATAAATGATGGTACCATTTTATTCCTCAAAACCTGTTGTTCTTGCTAATTCTCTATAGTTGATTTGTAAGGATCAGTTTTGTTTTCAAGAGATGATCACTGATTCATATCAGTTACAAAACCATTGAAAATCAGGAGGTACTGGAGAGCTGTTTCATAAATGTATGGATCAGAATCATTTCAAAAAATTGTCTCAAAGTTATCTTAAAAGTGATAATAATAATAACAATAATTTTTGTTTTATTCCAAAAACAGTACTAATGATACAGTAAGGAATTTTCAGCATTCACTACAACATTGCATCTAATTTACTCAAAATGACAAAAAATAAGCATTACATAATAATAATACCAAAACGTTGTTATAGCAGCTATGTAGCAATTACAGTATGCGATAAGGAGAAAAATATGCATAAAGTATAAAATTGTAGTAATAATAGTAATAACAACTGAAATAAAATAGGAAAGTTATGATTAAACGAGAGAAAGGGTGACACCATAAAATTACAGAAAGATGAACGATGAAAGGGTCAATTCACTTTGCTAATTACATAGTAACTTATATGTTTCACGTCTAACAGTGTCTTCATCACATAAAATACGGGCTAAATACGGTATTGCAGAATTTTTGTACTTCGTGGTTCGAGCATATAACTTCTTATATTGACTTCTCGTTCTACCTGATGAGATGCAAGGTGATAGTTGTGAATAAAGGGGGTGCAGGGGGTCTGACAGCACGGCCTTCGCCCATTTTGTACAGGAATTTATGTATCTCTTGACAATAGTATTGGTGAGCTCATGCAGTGGCATACCACAAGCCCTACTTACAGCATTTAATACCCTTCGTAATATGATATAGTCTTTTTTCAGAAGCTTGGAAACGAAATTAAACAGTATCAGGACGAATTACAGGTGTGTAGACAATGAGCATGGAAACAGAGTGAAATAATGATATTTTGGAATTGAAATGGAAGCTAGGAGGTGTGAATATTGATTACAGGAGTCTAATACGCAAAACTTGCACAGAATAAGAATAAAATTTAAAAATAATTATTTTAAATTAATTACAAATAGGATCAAGTAGAGCATAGAAACAAACTTAAAATAACTGTCGTTATAACAGAAAAAATTGCATCAATTGAATGAAGACAAAGAGAGAAAATTCACACACACAGCGAACAAAAATATTTAAAATCGGAGGCTGAAGGAACATACCAAACTAGATCCATGGTATCGTGGAGGTTAGAATTATTTCCTTTGACCACACAGCTCTGGCATATCAATGGACATTTTGAGGGCTTCTGAGGTACAGAAAAGTCAATGGTATCTAAAAAGAATTTAAGAATTCTCATCCTGCGAATAAATTCACAATGAAATTAGAAAAAGATTCATGAATCACTCAATATATGACATTAATTGTTTTGCGACTTGACACTGAACTATGATTGTAATCACAAAGATTTTGTTTGTATGAAATACTGCTGTTATTATTTCATGTATTTACACCTTTGATTCAATCCCCTCGACGGATATAATTTCTTGAAGAAAACCATATACATACGATTGTAAAGTTAGATAATGAACTCGTCGGAAAGAGTCCATTCCCGGAATACAACAAGCGCCACGAAGGTCTCCTCATTTCTCAACAGTCTTCCCTATGTGAAGCCGATTTCAGATGGTTATAGTGTGAATTGGTGATAGTACTCTTACATTCTGGCTTACTAGAAGACTAATTAGACTGACTAGAATGCACTGAAACCTGAATCAATAAACTGCACACTCAACTTAGTGTGATATCGATTTAGAAGAGAAAAACCAACGCAAATATTTCAAGATAATAAGCAAACAAATAAACTAAGAAAAAACAACCTGATAAGAGTAACAGAGTTTCACTTCAGTATCACATTGCTTGCATAACTTAGTTTAGACAAAATAAACGTGACTTAACTAAAGATAATTAGATGAGAATAATTTTACAATATTCAACACAAAAGATGCCGCAGAATATAGGTGAAGCAAAGAAAGACGAAGAGAAGAAGAAACGGAAGAAGAAATAATGGTACTACTACTACTACTACTAGTAGTAGTAGTATTAGTAGTAGAAGTATTAGTAGGCTGTTTATAGACCATGAGAAACACCAGGGAGTATTGAACAGTTATTTCGTTAGCCTTGCTTTGGACTCATTGGATGTACATAATCAATGGGGTTTGAGTGCAATTCTTTCCGATTTCAAGAGAAACTGATTGACCATTCAGCCATTGAGACCTCACTCAAACGGTAAGTGTAAGAATTCTTACTCCTACTAACACCGGGCAGTTTCATTCCCGGTGAGTATTTGTTCTCATTCTCGAGTGAGTTGACTACACAGGTAACGAGTTATCACTAGAAATCACACCAGGAAAATTTGTTCTGCAGGTAGTTACTAGTGGGTGTCAGAATAATTTACAAGGGATAGTGTGTGAGAATTTGATTTTTATCATGTTTAACCACGATTTGATATCGTTCAGTAAAGCCCTGATAACTAACTTCAACTGTACAAATCCACCTATGATTGGTCTAAATTCACCAATCGGTAGAAGTTAGAATTCTTGCATTGGTCATTCAGTGAATGTTAAGAACACAATATTCAGCGAAGAGACTCTTTTCAACGAATTTATTATCAAGCTGTACAATCGTATTTATACATATATGGCTTTTAAGAAATTTTATCCGGTGAGGGAATTAGGTCAAAGGTGTGAATACATGAAATAATAATAGTATGAAATGCAATTAGAATATTTGTGATTATAATCATATTTGAATGTCAAGTGGCACAATAATTAATGTCGTATATAGAATAATACATACGTGTATAGATGTGACGTCGCTATTTACCACTGTTCCTCTCATGAAAACTGTTTGTTACTTTTGTGATTATATTGATACACATAGTTTAGAAATAGGACTGCCGACCATCTACCTCAAAGAGCTTTTATTGAGATGCACGTTGAATGTTCAGTTCACCTTCGATAATGAGATCTTTAGACAGAGAGACGGCATTGCCTTGGGATCACCACTGGGTCCCTTGTTGGCTGATTGTTTTATGGCTAAGCTTGAAAATTCTCAACTTAGTCAAACCATCTGTCATTCTGACATTTATAAACGACACGTAGACGACACTTTCGTTATCTGCGATAAAAATGTAATTCTTGATGATGTCTTGTTTACTTTCAACAACTGCCATCCTTCTTTACAATTCACCGTAGAAAAGGAATCCGAACTAAGTATTCCCTTTCTTGATGTGTGCCTTAGCAGACGTAATGACGGATCTCTCAAAAGATCTATCCACCAGAAACGTACATGGAACGGACAACTAACTAATTTTTGCAGTTGGGTGCCTATCTCCAGGAAAAGGCAATTTAATTCATTCGCTTTGCTCTAGGATAAGAAAAATTTGTAGTTCTGATTCCGTTGACTCGGAACTCGACTTCTTAAAAGCCACTCTGGCAGAAAACGGTTACCCTAACGGATTTATTGACAGCAACATGAAAGAAATGCAGTCTAAACTGGCCACTAACACAGTTCCAAAGAAAACCTTATTCATGAACTTGGAATTCAAAGGGGATCAAGCTTCAGATATGCTCAAAAATCGTCTCTATGAATTAGTCAGTAAGACGTTCTTCACATCGAAATTATATATGACGTTCACTAGCCGCAAATTGTTCTCTACCTCTGTAAAAGTTAGGCTTTTCTGTCTAGCCGCTTCCATGGGCGTCTATCAGTTCACCTGCTCTGGTGGAGCCAGGCACATTGGCCGTAGTCAGAGGACGCTTTCCACACGGATACGAGAACATACTCAAGCTTGATTTTATATGGGAGTAAGGAAGTGTGTGAGAAGCTCTATTTTGAAACACCTGATAGACTTCTGCCACTCTATCAACCCTGGCCATGATTTTAAGTTCAGTGAATGGTCTACAAACTTGTCATACCACGGAAGATTCTGGGTCCCAATTCAAATGGCTGAGTACTGCCTATGAGTCCCAAGTTAGGGAGAGGGAAAAGATGTTCAGTACACTCTCCTTTTATTCAATGGTCCACTAAATGTTATCTAACCACTGTGAAACGTGAAGAATTTCAAATTACCTCCTACAAGTAACTCTTGAGAATTCTACTAAATTTGAAATAGATGTCAGTCTATCTTCTGAGAAAGGATTGGTTGATTTGCCTTTACATGAATGGTGACCATAGACAGCAATAAAGACCGTGAATCAGTATACTGTTGTTTTTCTTCTGTTACCAATGTACTACTGACTGATTTTATATGCCACGTAGTATGCTTTGTTACTTGCCAAATTTACCTGCATCTTTAGATAGGTGAACACAAAAATGAGATACACATATGTAAAGCATATACATACATAGTGTGCGTTCAAATATAACCATAAAAATGCATGAAATTATTTTGCAGTAGATAACACAGACAACATACACTTTTGAGAGATTTTAAATCATGAGAAATTTATTACTGCAGACACTATGTTGCCTTCTACTCCTATTATCTTTTATCAATGCAAGTAATGAAAGTAAGTTGATTATTATTCCTTTTTTACAATTTGTCGAAATATTATCATTTTCCTTTTTGTAGTATTATTTTTGGATCAAAATTTTCTCAGTTTTATTTAAAGTAGTTAATTACCCATCACTATAACTACTTAAAAGGTGAATTTCAGTGCAAATTTTCTTATGATTAGAACTTAGATAGAGAATCATTCATCATTTGAACGGGTTTTTCGTTCTGGTGTGAATGTCCGTGCAGGCGTTGGTTGATAGCAGAACTATATTAGAGGAATGGCTGAAGTTAGAATGCCTTGGTATATCGATTCCGAGACAATGATTGAATGATCAACGCACCAGTCTTATAATCTGAAAAGTTAGGTCTCCAGTTAAGTCACAGTTGAAGAAATCCATACTGGATAGTTAATTTGCGGAGCTTTCATCACCCTAGTAGGGGACACCAAAATCATCCACCTGAGCTACAAAATTTCTCTATCATATTCTTGAAATGTGTACGTGGAAGACTTCGACTTCATCTCTTGAATAATTTATCTACAGCGAAGTAAAGTCAATTCAACCTGATTATCTAAATACCTAGATAAGCATTTTGTGTTCAACGGAACTTCCACAATCATCTCCATTTACACGAGAATCGAATCATCAATCTAGAGAGAGGGAATATCAATCTAGAACGAATTAAGTGCAAGTGTGTTGAGCATTTAAATATCCATGGGATTTCCTGTTATTTCATTGATTTTATTCAAGTTAAACTCCAAACTATGAGTTAGATTAGCAGTTAAATTCTCTACAGATGAAAGACTTCTTGATTAGTAAAATTAATATGGGTGTAATCAGAATAAAGGTACCCTGTGTTGACCAGAATCTCACCTATAGTATGTGCAGTGTGTTACTCTTTATGTTGACTAACTGTTCTTCTCAACTGTCATTTGCTGTAGGAGTTTATATCCCGATATGCATGTATAGAGGTAATAGAGCAGGATTTAGTGAATTCATCAAATTTTGGGGGAACTCATCCTCAACTGAACACTCTAAATACAGTGATATATATGTATCACTAGAGATACAGTGAGAGACATTTGGCTGAAAAATAAATAAACTGTAATGAATCAATCATGCGGAACGACAGGTGAAGGTTTTTTACAGGTGAAGTTCAGATAGATAAAGTGGAAGGAGTATGACGGATTAATATTAAGATTTGAGTGGATCACACTTCCGTCACATCACTAGAAGAAACAATCACTTACTGGGGAAAAATCTAGAAGAGGTCAGAAATTATGAAGCTTATAATAATAGTAAAATGAGTAAGGATTATAACGCTAACAAAAGATGGTTTTAATTCAGTCAAGAATAATAACAAGATTTTTGTAAATACTCATAAGTGGAAAACTAAACGGCATTGTTTCCACTAACTTTTCGCTATATAATTCTGCCGATCGCCTTATAAAAATTGGCAATATTGAAACAGAATTCGCGATAGCTAGGATTATATATCACAACTTAATCATCTTTATTCAACATACGACAATTCTTACATTTTCAAGAAAAAATTCCAATTAATTCACAATCTGTTTGTGGTTATAAAGTAATATGTATTGAAATGTGATGGAAATAATGGAGCAAGATAGAATTTGACGTGGTTCCAATACCACCAACCTCGTCTCCCATGAAGTGGCAGAGTAAACACAAATGTGATATGCAATATTCCTATGTAAAGACATGCTGTTCTTATAGTGTCTTTCACTTCTTATATCCAACCACCTGCACACAGTTTTGTTATCCTTACCAAGTGACCAACTTGACAATCTTGAACTTATTTAATATTTATAAATACATGTACTATAGGGTGTCTATCAGATGAGATATTAGTCAATAAAGAAGATGCACTCAGAAAAATCATGAACTAATCTTTCGCCTTCGGGTTTTAATTATTTAGTGTGCGACAGTTGCAACAGTTGTACCACACATTTCGCATTTGAGTGGTAAGGTGATGTAGACATATCCAAGACTCCTTCAAGTGGAAAGTCTCTTTATGGATCTTACGTAGACCATATAACCTGGATGCCACAGCATCTACAGATCAATGAATAATGTCTTTATTGTATTTAAATAGTCATTTTTAAATATGGCAACAACCAATAGGACTTTATCATGTTTTGGAAGCACTAAATCCTCTTTTCGTAAATTTCTGTATAGTCTCTTCATGTTTTATAGTCCACATAACATCCACATTGAATATCAACAACAGACAACTAAAAATTGAATGATTTGATTTCTTTGTTATGTGAACAGCATCTATTCATAATGATCTCAGCATGCATTATCTTCCTAATACAGAATTTCTAAAGTGTGCAGCGTGCTACTTAAATATATATAAGTAGTGTTAGTAGTGAGGCCTTCAAAACAAGGTGAAATGAAGGAATATGGCCAGAAATTCCGATAATACACGATAGGTAATCAAGGTTAGATACATTTTTAAAACAGAATAGTTGACGTTTTTCTAAGATTGTACAATAATTGGTAGATCATTTTTGTCCGTAAATATGCAAGATGGACGACAACTACAGTTCTAAACTTATCTAATTCGATATTATCTTCCACAACAGCTCAACATGAGCTCATGAGCCAGCATAACACGGAGCAAATGATCTATGATAGACAAGAGCGGCGGCTTACGTAAGTGACAGTATAACAGTTATGGTTTCCGAACTGAGTGGTGTAATTGCTAAGCTATGGATTTTCTTTGCACACAGCTGAGGCGATAGGCATTCGAACTATTAAACCTAAACTATGTATTCAAAAAAGTTCGTACAGCCACTATCCCTAACTTGGCCTATTAAGACATAACCAACTAAACACTTCTACACCACCTTTTGAATATATTTGCAACCCCTTTCTTATCATCCCTTAATCTTATCACATCTTCATTAAAAGCGTGTCTCATTTACTTCCCTTACAAGCTAACATTACTTAATCGGTTCATTTGCTTTTACTAGCCTTTATCGACTACTTCCACCTGAACAGTTGTTTGTTTAATCATGCTGTTTTTCATTATTCGTGTTATCACAAATTGCTCAATTTTTCATCTTTATTATTGATAAGACCATTTTTATTATTACTATTATTATAATTATTATTATCATTAGCGTCGGTGGCATAGCGGTTAGGACGCTCGCCGACCATACACATGGTCCGGGGTTCGATCCCCGGCCGGCGCACTCCTTTACCTCGCTAAACCAGAAATAATGCTGGTGATGAGGAAAGGTTGGACATGAGGCTAGCAACCCCATCCTGTAAAAAGTAAACACTTCAAGCAACTAGCTTTAAGCCCTATGTTCCACTGGGAACGTGAAGGAAAAAAAAATTATTATCATTACCACTATTATGACTAATTGCACAATTTATATTCACCATCGTATTATCCTATAGGCAAAAAACCATGATTGGTTTATATGTGAATTTTTATTTGTAAGCTTATGTATATTTCAGTTAAGCCTGATGAGATCTAATCGGAAACAATATTGTTCACTTAAATGTATTGTTCTTAATTTTACCATGGGAATCTTTAATATATTGAAAAGTGAATATGCAAGATCAATTTCACTTCTAAGTAGTAGAATGCATCATGAGATGGGCGTAACTTTTGATTGGGGCGATTTTCATTGTTGTTTTTTTTTTGGTGGACTTCAGAAACAGTTTAATTGGTCAATTATCTGATTCTTTATGTACAAGAGAATTTTATTTTTGTGTGTGCATATGACTTGGTAAATGAAGGGTTAATTAGATAGCTTGAGAGAAATATTTTACTCTATTTCAGATGATCTGAACTCAACACTGGGCGCATACGCCGATTCATACCGTGAAGCTGTGGATTATAAATGTATGTGTTTATTTCACCGGAAATCATTACATGTTTGTCTCTTCACTTTAGACTCTTCTTTAACGATCAGTGTTCACATTCTCTTACTACTTATATCGCTTGCCTTGATTTGTAGACGGCTAATCAACCAATTCAATCACTGACAACACTGAGTAGCTTTCAAAAATATCTTCTACACTGCTTATCTCCGTCTTTGTTCAGGGAGATATATTTCTCATGTTAACAGATGTATGGAATGTCACCTAAATGTAATAACATGCAAATTATTCTTCTAAAGTAGAACAGAAAGCTGATGCTTCAACGTGAGCGACAGTGCTTCATCTATTTCAGGAAACTTTAAAATCTCCAGGATAAAATTTTGTATGCATGTACATACTACAGACTGAGATGAGTTGAATAGCAGTTGCAGAGTAATTTCTATTGGGCTAAAAGGCTCAATCACTTGGTACTGGTAACCAGCGTATTGTGCGATAAATATTTACATTTGTCTGGAGGTGTGTTGGTAATGCACGGAGGACAGACACACTACATGAACAATTAGTTACACGAAGGCAGACTGCATGTTGCCTACAGGTCGACATTCATTTTGTCAGAACTTTTATTCAAGCATTAAACAATCCACATACTTCAAACTTACTTCCACCCGTTTGTCTGTTTTAGTTCTCATGATTGAAATTCAGACAGGCGAAGATCCTCAGAATGTCGAAGGAATAATAAAACCTGGTGAGTAATTTTATCAAATTCTCTACATGGCTGCATACGAATAAAAATGAACAAATTATTCTTATTTTGAATCCTAAGAAAAAGACGTAAACAACGAAGAAAAGTTTCTTTTCAACGATTCATTTTCATAAGCTTTACTATGGTAAATCATAAGACCAATGGGATACTGGTAAAATTTTTCTCTTTCTAGGTTGCACCTTGAATTACGTATTACTTTTATTCGAAAACAAATTTTACCAGTTTCGGGTCAGTCTTACGCTTTCCTTGATAATTACAGCTTATGAAATGAATCGATGAAAAGAAAGTTTTCTCAGCCTTTCACATCTTTTTCAAATAAATATCACCCATGAATATTTGGTCAGGTCTTCTTCAATCAATAGTTTATGTCATATTTCATGCATTCCAATGAATCAAAGATGCACACCTGTGATCCTTTCGAGGGTGACTGAGTATCTCGTGTTTTTATTGTCATGCGAAGAATATGAAATGTATCTCTTGGTCTATGCGTGATAACGTCTGTGGTACCAGAACAATGCTGACTGATTCTAATGGTTGAAATAACGTCTGTCCAGGGTGTGGCACGAAACATTTTGTATCAACAAGGACTCACTCACCTTCCTACCCTTACTGCTGCGCAAATGCCATACCTGTAAGGTGATTTGAAGCACATCACTGAAACCCATGAACGCACTTGTGGGTCTGTTGGGAGATTCTCTGTATGAAGTGAATACTGGTGAGGGCTATTGCGGTTGGAAAAGGGGTTTGACGTCTAGTGTTGTCTGCTGCTCTCTTAGCCACTCTTAGAATTCTTCGCACATTATTATTATTATTGTTACTCTCCTGAGTACCGAGTGGAAACAACGACCTCAACTGCACTTCACCATACCATCCCCCTTTCATTAGTATTTTGTGTCTGACTCCGAAACCACCCACTTAACTTCTATTTTCTGCCTACAAAATCTCGACTGTGTCACTGTCGTCCACCGCTCATCTCTTCATATCCCATTCACATCCCACTCAAGGGACTGGCATGTGATATCATTCAGCGGTCTACTCAACGCATGTTCCATATACCTCCGTATCACTTGGCATATTTGTTGGGCAGTAGGTTCATGATTGGGTTGTCTCTAGACTTCCATGTCGCTAATGTTTTCTGGCCTCCTATTCTTCAGTACTGAGGCACCAAAGTAAAGTGTCGACAAAAGTCTGCAGCTGCCTGTTGTTAATTCTTTGTCAACACGATAAGCCTCTGAATCATGCAGCAGCATTGGTTTGACTACACAGCGTTATGACCCATATCTCCTTCCTTATTCTGGGTGGAGTAGACTCGCAAATTGATTTAAAGGTGGTGAGGTCCTGTTCTGCCTTTCAAATCTTAGTTGAATGCAAAGTCTTTACCCTTGCCACCACGTGTAGTTGAAACGCACGAAGATGAAATGTACGTCTTGTTCTATGCGTGATAACATCTATGGTAACAGAAATACGCTGACTGATTCAAATGTTTGAAATAGCGTCTGCCTAGGGTGTGGCACGAAAACTTTTGAATCACCTACCTTCTTACCCTTACTGGCGCATGAACTGTCATCCTCGCTGGCGATTTAAAGCAGGTTACTTGAAATGAGATCTGAGGCCTATTGTTTTCTACTGCTCTTCTAGCCACTCTCAGCTTCTTTTTCAGAATACTATTATTACTCTCCTGAGTTCCAAGTGGAAAATAAGAGCTCAGCTGCACATCTCCATACTATCCTCTTCTTTGCAGTCCATTGTAGTTTGCTGCACAACTGCCCAATTAACCTGTATTTTCCTCCCACACAATCTCCACAATGTCACCACCATTCAGCTCCTCATGTAACACTCACGTTCCATTAAACAAACTGGAGTGTGATATCAGTCAATAGTTTTCTCAACTAATTTGGCATATACCTTCAATTCATTGGACATATTTGTTGTAAAGTAGGTGCATAACTGGTTTGCCATCAGACTTCGTTGTTGCTAATGCTTTGCAGCCTCTTTTTCTTCATTACTAGAGCATCAAAGTCAGGTGTTGACAAAAGTCTGTTGTAAATGATTTTGCCAATACGACAAGTCTCTGAATCATGTAGAAGCATTGGTTTGACATCAGTGTTGTAGACCCATACCTTGTCCCCCTTATACTAAGTGGAATAAACTCGCCTACTGGCTTGAAAGCGGTGAAATTCGATCTTGCTTCTCTGACCTTAGCTGACTGCAATGTCGTCACTCTTGCCACCAGGTATTGTTGAAATGGTGCTTCCTCGATAAGTATAAGAAATGATTTCTCTCACATTTCTACCATTGCTGTTTGCTGGTTGGTAGGTTGGTTGTGTTCAACGCTTTTTCTCTATGCTCACTTGAAAGCGTGTCTTCGCTGTCTAATTCTTCTGCGAAATTGTTCGTCATCGCTTGCAGATCTTCAAGTTCGTGTGATATTAGACATAAGTCATCGACGGAGTCCAAATATTCCGCAGTCTGCCTGTTGCATCAACGTGTGATCATCTTCCTGCTCCTCATGGTCTCTCACACGACCCAGTCTCCCACGACCAGTAGTACCATCTGTGACCAGCCTCACTGAGATTTCCATTGTGGATCTCTTAGCATTTGACAAATTCACGCAGCTGTTCGGAGCATCGTACTCCATAGTTTCCAAAGCTGTCAAAGGATTTTTCAAAGTCAGTGAAGTTGAGATAGATATTTGATTGCAACCTTATGCTTTCTACGATGATGAGGTATTGCTTTTCTTGAATCCAGCATGTTATTGAGGGACTTTCACATCCATAGCGTCATTTTGTCTCTTTCTAGGATGAAGCGAGATAGTTTTTTGCTTGGATTGGACGGAAGCATTATTCTCAGAACAATTCTTTCAGAGACATAAGCAATCCTTCTCTGATAGTTTGACAAGGTAGCATATCCTTCCAACCAGCCAGCAACCTTCCGTCATCGGAAATGTAATGCACCATGGCGTGAGTATATCCGATGAGTTGCTTCCAACGGAATTTCACCTGGTTCTGTCACCTTTCCGAATTCCAGTAACATCATAGTATTCGAAACGTTTGATAATTTGATTCGACACTGATAACTAGTGTGATGTGCCTAGTCCTTTCTTTGGTGCAGACTGAATTCTTTCAGTCAGGTTTGTAATGTGGCCACCATTCTAGGTAGCTTGCCATCACGGTGCATACTGATATGATGATATTAGATGCTTGAAGGCAATCGACAGGAAGCCTTCGACTCAAACACGCAAGACTTTCATCATTCAATGGTTTCAAAGGACTGATCATGGGCACAGAATTTCCCCTACTTGTGATTTGAAGCTGAATACTCCTAGATAAAACTGTAATAAACAAGACATACGTAAGTGTGCTGCTGACTGTACAGGGTTACTCACAGTGCATAAAACAACCAATAAATGTTGTTCTCAAACTTCAACATGCAAGACCAAGGAATAACTAGGAAGCGCTTTATTAACTTGAGCTTAGGAGAGTGCAGAATTACAAAGATGAACTTCAAATGGAGAATAAGAAATATATGCTCAGCATCATTTGGATAGTCGAAATTTTCATTTAGACATATGGAAAACAGAAAGATTGAGCGAAGGAATACTTACTTTTCAATTAGATCCTCATCTCTGGCTCAACCCTAATATATGTAGCACATTTATTACAATACGCAACAATTAACCAATCAAGTGGCAATGAAATGAGGATCTAATTGAAAAGTAAATATGTCTTTGCTCAATCTTTCTGTTTTCCAAAAATCAAAATTCTCTCAACAAATAACCTGTGTCAACCAACATTACAACATTCCCTACTTTTCTGTATTTTCCCAATTTAAACAGAAATTCTGCGACTTGAGCACTTATATCAAAGTAAATGGGCGAAGGAATTTCTCGAATGTAAGTCCTGTCATTCACGCATTCGATTCTTTGATATTCCTGAAGTGATCCGTGTGTTGAATAAAGGCGTGAATTTTCAGTGAAGTTAAATATGTTGGATTGCGAATTGAAATGAATTGCAGTGTCATTGGAGATCGCCAAAGAATTCAATTACTAGACAAATAAATTATCAAATCTAGTAATACGGAGAGTGATCTCCTGGAGTCTTTCAACAAATAGTCTGCAACATTTTCTGGAGGAACTTCAAGTTGAGGAATGAATTTCATGAGCACATTTTACAAATTATTATTCCAACACACATCTTTTCTATCTGCATAGCATTAAATACTGAATTATAACTTAAATGGTGGCTACATTAAGGCATTTGCCAAATGAATGCTGTTGATTGATTTTGCAACATTCTTTTTCACGCAGATACAGTATAGTCTGACGGATAGGTTATAAAACGCCTCGAACAAGTTGCCATGTACTTAGTATAAAAACAAGCATTTTCTGTGTTTCGCTTTGCTTTGTTGTACTTTTCATGTCCGCCAAACCCTAAGCATACATTTGGGGTTTTCTTACCGTCTCTTTCTTACCATGTCTCCGAGTACAAGTAAATTTTTTCCCAAAAATTATCTACACTTTTACAGCAATCGGTGCAGAAGATAAGAAGCTGGTGAATTTTTCTATCGGTGGGTTATTTCATCCTTGAATAATAAACAAAATGCATGTGAAAAAATCATTTGGTATCTGAAGTCAAAAACATCATTTTACTGTTTGTGGAATGAAAATTAGCTTGAAATCATTGGGTTTGACAGATGTCACCAGAGGTGTTTGTAGTGACTTTTATTTGACAAGCCTAACAAGTGAAGAGGTAATCGCTCATCGATACGAATACAGTCTAGTGCATTTAATGAAGCATTTTAAAATTTGTCGTCTATTCAATCACGAGTGACGTGGTATTCAGTAGTGAAACAATTTCCTCCATCATCCACTTTCTCTACAATGTCCTCTTCAACATTGGCTTCTTCAATACATACATGATACAATGAAACAGCATGTATCATTGATAATATCCCGAATATAATTTATACTTCATAGATATCTCAAGTTCATTTACACTACTTCGAAACTTGGATAACTTCTTTCTACTCTATTTTCATCAAATATTGGATGGTTGAATAAATCCCTAGTTATTCAGTTACATTATGAAATTACTACTGTTATTCCTTCTCCGTTTTCCTTGGTGATACATTGAGCTGCTCACCACAAAACATGTTTCGAATGGTTCACTTCAGAACAATACTATAGGCGCTAGTGGACTGCCTTGTCTCATTCCCATGAACTTTCCGCTGAAAAGTGCTTCGAAAGTGGCCTAATCCCTTGTCTGTTGAATGAGATGCATCAGAGTAAAAAGCACTCAGCACTGTTGGTAAGGCAAGCAAGTTACTTCACAGTTAACTTTGTCGAAAGTCTTCTCATATTCCGTGGGAATTCTTTAAGCAGTTGACTGCCATTCCAGCCTATGATTGATGACAATTTGCAGTTGTAAAGCGAGATTCGCTCATGATTTGTCTCCATTCAACCCAAACTGATCCCACAAGCAACATTCATCCATGATATCTGCTGAGAGAGATGTGCCTAACTATTATGTTTAAAAATGACTGTCTGATTGTTGCGAAAATTTGATACTGTATGTGAAGTCATCTGTTTATAAATGAACTTAGTTCACACTTTCCTACTGTCTAAGTGTACACTTACACGCTACAGTTTGTTGGCTATTTGAGTAATTAAATATGCACCAAACAATGCTTCCTTTCTCTATAGATGAATACAGAAAGGCATTGCAAGGAGATACTGCTTTTAATTACGCAGTTCTTGGTATGATTGATTTCTTAAATAAAAGTTGTATTACTACTTAATCTAAAATTCATCGGTTTGCTGAAATTAGGTGACCAGGTCTGTGAAGAATGTACACAAGATTTTTTGCTGGTGTTTTGTGTCAAGTCATTATTTCAATCTTCAATCATACTTCCTTTTCATCCACGTCAATCGCACTTCTCTAACAAAACATTTTTGAGCGAAATTACGTGAGGATAAATCTGACCAACGTCAGGACATTTCTTACCAAAGTAGACCGCTCTCTTATTTTTTTATATTGATTTGTTACTAAGATCCATTGTTCCAGTGATATTCAGAAGATCTTCAGCTCATTTGCCCTTTGAGTGATGACATCATCATTTAAACTGATGATAATTTTAATTTTCATATTACTTCCTACTCTTCCACCGAAATCTGGTCACATTTACAACTGTAATACATGCCTTAGGTGAAATCAGTGGTTGATACATGATATTACGCTGAAATCTGTTGGATGCCTAAAACAGAGTCATACTAATGCATTTAGATAGATTATCACTGTCACCATTTTGGAGGAACATTCCACAGCTCAAAAAATCATGTAGTCCAGATCTTACAGAACTTATGAGTAATAATTATACCTAGTCAATTTCCATTTACTTCGTCAGCTAGTAAAGAATTATACAATCAGACGAAAATGCATATTTCAAAGAAATGGGAAAATCGAAAAACTCTCGATATTGCAGAAGGTAAAATTTTTATGATTCCACTATTTATAAAGGCAGTAGGTTATTTTACATTTTGCAAGATATAAAATATCCTTCTTCTGTAATTAGGCGAAGCACGTAAAGCCACACAAGATTTATCGCAACATTTCGGAATGGCTATATGTCCTTTAAAAATCCCACCCACGAATGTGTTATCTGTCTTAGCGAGGAAAAAACTTGATACATCACCTACTGACAGTCTTAAATTTAATCGCGCATGAAATGGTGGTGCTGTAAGAGTGTTCTGCACATTTCAATGATTCCCCTTTCTGATTTCTTTTCATGATAGTGTGTTTTTTGAGGCTTCTGGATTTCCGCGACTTCATCATCAGCACTGATTTTCAGAATTGATAGAGAATGATGAGAATATTTGTGCGTAAATGTCCATCCAAATAACGGAGATTAGTTCAGGGAATAAGGGATTGTAGGCAAATGCCATACAACCGTTCACTTCCTCATATTTGTCATTAGAATCAGTCGAAAACAGACTACTTGCAATCGATATGTGAGTGACAATACACTTACTCGATGGTCTGATAGCATTTTCTAACAAAGCTTTATACCTAGTAAGCAGGTTAGCTGTGATGATGTCATTTGAATTGAAGTCAGCTGAACCCATCTTTAAATAGAGCGATTATGACAATGTTGGATTCATCGTATACGTGGAAGTTGAGTGACATTATTATGTATCAATTGTAGGCAAATATTTTGCGGAGACATCAAGCAATTTGAAGAAAGACGAAGGTTAGTTTTCTTTCACTTTGAAATTCATCTTCGTAACTCATTAACTCTGCTGAAATATCTGTCGTCATTTTGTGAATAGTAGTTCCTATGATCTAGTTGATATGCATATTCACAATTTCACTGAAATGCGGTGAAATTTATTCGTAATTAACCATGTCTGAATATCCTTTGTGACAAACAGATGCAGCAGCTAATTGATTGTTCGACTCAATTCTCGAGTTGTTTGAATATGTGGAAAAGCTGTATCCATGCATCCGAACACCATATCTGCCCAAATTCACTGAGCATCAGTATATCGAGAAATGTCACAGGTGGATTTCAATCGGAACTCCATTCACAGAAGGATCACTGAGTAATAAGTGATGAAAATTATGACAATGAACACTGTTTTCCACATTTTATCACCAACAAGTACAACGTACATGGTTTTATTATTCTTCAGTGCTAAATGCCTTACATACTATGGTTTATCCAGAAATAATGGACAGAAATGTGTTCACGCAGTGAACTGTCAGTGTAACGACAGAAGGAAAGAGACTTGGCAAAGCAATGCTTATTCGGGATTTTGTATCTCCAACTTGCTAAATTATGTACACCTTATCTTCGAACCACCATTTGCACAGAGCTTCAGTGTTGTACTATTTCTCTCCTTTATATTATATTTCTTCGTATTCATATCACGTCTGTCATGTTTTACCGAAACCCTGAATCATTTGCTTGCTTTGACGTCAAATCCATCCCCCTGCTAATCGGTGTTTTTATGCTGAACAGTGTCTCTTTAAATTCTACTGATAAATCGAATCAGTATCAGACGCCACATCAGTCTTTTACACGCAAAATCTCCTTAAATTATAGCATGTCTTTATACATACAAGTTGTAAAATGCAAAACCATTGACGTGATTATTCATTCAATGATTTATCAAATTATTCTAAAAAGTTGCAATATCTTATGGAAACGATTATTGTTCTATAATGGAAAACGTCAAGCGAACTTTGAAGTTGGGCACAGATGCAGTATAAATGCAGTTTACACCTAGTAAATGCACTCGTGTTACTGATACCAGTAAACTACTCGAAATGTCATGTGGTAAGCTGCACATTACCAACGGGATAGCCATGTATTGCGACAGTCAGAAGCCATTGAGTTAATATGATTATTTCACGCTGAAGAACACACAAAGAGACGTTTCACACTTTTCAATAATGTGAAATTATAGTTCAAATTGAAATGATGAAGAAGGAATTTATGGAAGCAAAGGAAGCAGTGAAAACATCCAGAGGTAAAAGGATTCTGTAAATTCGTATTGCACACTACGTTCATGAATAATAAACTTTTAGTATGAAAATTCAATAGTCATTTTTTTAACTGTTAGTCGTTAAGTTCCCCTTTTTACTCATCATTAACAGACACATTAACTAGTATGTATTAGATATCTTTTTCACCATCAGTACAATAACTTCATAGAAATAATCGGAAGGCCAATTTTACCACCAGCGAGTCGTCACTCTTTTCGTGTGGAGTGGACTAAACTTATGAAAGCTGATATATTCACTGTGTGGTGAGGAAAAACGTGTTGAGAAGTAATCAAATTATTATGACACGTTTTTGAATCGTCAATATGTTATATTCAGTATAATGATAAATATGCCAATGTAGTTTCTTGATTAACGTTTTAAATATCATTCAACACTTCTTGTTTTTTAGCTAAACTTAAATGGCTAGAAATGGAAAGTCATGCATACACAAATTTTTTAAGTGAGTGTATATATTCATCAATTTGATTAGTGTACTTCAAGGTACAATGAAGCCTTGGACAAGCCTATTATGATTCACCATTTGATGAACCTGGTGATGATTATGTCTGAAAAGTAGATGCGTTTAACTGATAGTCAACACACAGACAAACATATTTTTCCGCAACTATTCAATAATCTCCACCTAACTGTACAAATGACGTGAAGCCGAGTTCGACATCCACCTTGCTTTACATTGAAAAGCAGACAGAAGAGTAGACTAAGTGAATATGACGTTGACTGTAGGAGTGAAATGGTTTATACTATGGTAGAATATAATTCGATATGCGATAAGTTCGGTGAACATAAAACACATTTTCATGGTATTTATAACTGAACGACGCTTCTAGAGCAATTGTTCTCTCATAATCACATCATATGATTGTATTATTATTACTTAGATTATTTCCGACCTGCGAACAAAAGAAGATCTACAAGTGGTAAGCAAACAATTTTACCTTGCTTAAAATATTTCGAAGTTCAAAATATATTCATCACTAAAATCCATGCGATTCGTATTTGATTAAAAATAATGACATCACTACAACAAGGGACTTCAGAACTTCATGTCTACCAGAGAATGGCATCATCATAATTGGATCACGGTTTCTAGCTGGGTACCCCAAATAATTAAAATTTTGATCGTAAACATGCAAACATCGAGTAAAGTATGAACAGAATAATGCATGGTATTTTGAATCGACAGAGACTCATTCTTGAAGATCTTTAGTTTGAAGGTCATGTGAAGGTTAAGACAATGGACCAAACAAACGATAAGTAAAAGTAACAATTTGCTCACTAATTGAAAATACAAAGCGCTCAAATTTACTAACTCAAATTACTTACACATATCTCATTCCACATTGAATGCATTTGTATGAAGTCTTTCCCTCCAATAATTTCAAGTACTTATGCGACTTTCAGATTCATTGCATTCTGCTAAAATTACGGAGGTGTATCAGAAGGCTCGTATTAATTTTGCCATCGGCACAAGTAATTTTACATGGTTATTTGATTTGATCACATGTTATATTTCATAGTTCTAGAGATGAATGCACCTCTCAGTGAATTTCATTTTCGTAAGAGACAAAAGTAGCCTGTATGACTAATGATGTGTATATTATCAAGTCATCGTATTCACTTATACCAAATTAGGCTATATTGTTGATAAAATCAGCAGTAATACTTGTCATATTATTATTAGAATCTGCAAACTGTAGGTGACAGCTAAGTCTAAAATATGTATGCACAAAAGCGTTAAATTTACTCCTTCTATAGAGTTAATTTCATATTACCGGGACATGCGAAACTAATCCGATGAAGCTTCAGTGACTTCATCAATGTATCATGCAATAAAGCCAAAAACATTTATGATATACATTGTTAAGTTTGGAATAACAGTTACATGGAGACTACATTACATGATCGAGCAAAGTGAGATTTGAGTTTTATCTCATATTGTTGCAACGTTACATTAAAAATGGTACTAATGCGTCACTGACAATCTATTCCCTGTATTAGAGGAACTAGGTGAGAAAATAAAACTATTGGAAATGAAGAGGATTGAATTTTTCAAGTGTAAGTTGAAATATTGAAATGATTTACAACTGCCTAGTTCAAACCCCAGAATGCAGAATTAACTGTCTCCTGTCTGAAATGAAGGAAGATGCCAAGCAGTTTTATTGAAGTAAGTTGCTACTTAGATCCTCAGCGTGTTTTAAATTACTAACTTACTGCACAAGTGGATATGAACTTGAAGATGGATTTCAAGGTTTGCTAAAATCAGCTGGATGAATCCTTGAGAAACAAGTAACAATGAACTTCTGTTCACTCGCATTTCTTGATTACTGATCAGTGAACACGCGCATGATGGCTGAGCTACTGTCTGACCGGTCATATGATCACACTCGGTGGCCGCACTCAATATCAGGGTTGTAACATCTGTTCAGAACATCGTTAATACAGATGGTACTTTGCATAGCTCATTCCCTGTGAGGAGAATCGTAACTTGGAATCAACCAGAAAATGTACACAATTATTCTGTGTTTCAATATTCACTGGAAGTATTGCCTGAGGATTAGTGCAATAGTCAGTTAGATGGAAACTGTCGATAATAATTTCTGTTGTACAAGATACGTGTCTATTTTCAACTCACTTTTACTCTGTTTCTGGTTTCATTTTGTTTCAGCTGCAGGAGAATGAATTCGATTCCAAGGGAAGTGAAGCAATATTGGTGAAGGAAATACGTTGTTTTCTTATTTCTTTTTTGTTTAATTAAATATAATATTTTCCTTAGTAAGATCTTGTTCCAGTTAGTGTTTTCTGTCTTTCTAATAAAATGTGATATGTCAGAATGAAGTAACTAATTAGAACAAAAAGGCTGACCACTTGCACACAACTCGATGATTATTGTTTTGTCGGACGAAGTGTATCGAGTAGTCAATGAGGAGAAGTGTAATTAATTGCCAGCGACTAAAAAGTACATATACGCACAAAGAAATTCCATCAACTAGACATTTTTAAGTTATTTGCTACGCGGATTTCCATAATAATAATAATTTACTTTATTCCAAAAACAGTACTTATAATACAGAATGGAATTCTCAGCATTTGTCACAATATTGCATCTGATTTACTCAAAGTGTATATGAAATTAAAAATTAAAACAAAAATTAATCGGAAGAAATTGTCCACATTAACGACATAATTATTAGATATAATAATAATAAATACTAATAACAGTGAGTTTGTTTCAAACGGTAATGTTGCATCAGTTTGAAAACTTTAGCATGTTATGGATAATTGGGTCTAATGTTCTGTTGATATGGTATAGTGAGGTGAAATACAAAGTTAACAGTCATAATACAGCTTAAAATTATGTCTTCACTTATGAAAAATAAAACAAAGAAAACGAAAAAAATGAGAGGATTATAAATATAAGAAATACAATAACACTAAAGTATGATGCTTTAAGCTTGAAGGAAATGGTCTATTTAGTGGTGCTAAGAAGGTAAGTTAGTTCATTTATGACACTATCTTCATCACATAGAGTACGTGCTAAATATGGTATAGTGGAATTTTTATACTTAGACGTACGTGTATAAAGTCTTCTGAAAAGACTTCTTGTTTTACCTGAGGAGACACAAGGTTGGAGCTGCTGGTAGAGTGGGTGCTCAGAGTTTGACAAAATTCCTCTAGCGAATCTGTTGCATGACATCAAATGCCTATCGGTGACAATGCCAACGATATGGCCCAATGAGATACCACTCGTCCTACTGACAGTCTTCAGAGTTCTACGAAGTATGACATAGTCCTTTTTAGCAATCCAGGAAAGAATAATGGTGAACAGTAAAGAAGAATAGGTAAAGTACACGAGTTGACAAACTGTAAGAGGAGTGGCTGGGTTATGCCTGAGTACCTCAACTTCTTAATGTAAAAAGTCAGACGAAATATTCTTTGAGAAATCGCTAAGACATGAGAAGACCAAGATAGGTCAGAAGAGAGAACTAATCCAAGATACTAAACTTCAGACTGAGTTTCTATATCAGTATCATCGATTTTGCAAGGGTCATAGGAACAAACGGCTTCATTTAACTTTCATGTACAACGGAAACTGAAATTAACAGTCTGACATTTGGAAGGGTTAAGTTTAAGGCCGTTAGACGAAGACCATTTGCTAATTTCTGATAGAAAGTTGTTAATCTTAATACAGTCAAGTTGAGAGTTAACAGACATTGAAATAGTTAGATCATCGGCATACTTAATAAAGTTGATTTCATCGGAGTGAGGCAAGTCATGCAAGAAGAAAGAAAACAGAAAAGATGAAAGGACAGCGCCTTGAGGGACACCAGCCTCAGTAAGCAGTGAAGTGAACGACTTCCCCTGACATACAGTGTATTGCTTTCTTTCTGAGAAATAAGAATGGAGCCATTTGACAACCCAACAGTCAGTTTGAGTTTCAGCAAGCTTGTTTAGTAAAATGTCCCTAGGTACTGAGTCGAAAGCAGATGTATAATCTAGAAAGGTGCAGCGAACAAATTTAGCCCCCTTGTCTAAGCTGGAGACAATGTTATGATACAGGAATGCAGCTGCGTCCAAAGTACTTCTACTATGTTTGTAGGCGAATTGTTTGGGATCATTAAAGACTTTAAGTGAAGGTTGAAGATTAAGTAAGAGCAACTTTTCCATAGCTTTTAGAAAAGGGGAAGTAATAACAGCGGGTCTGAATTTAAAACATGTCGCAGTAGACGACTTAGGAATAGGTACAATTTTTATGTCCTTCAAAGCGGCTGGCACGACATTTTTGGAAAAAGAATCATTAAATATGTCCATGAGAGGATAACACAGGATATCTGCACAATTTTTAAGAATAACACTAGGCAAACCATCTGGACCCAGGCTACAAGAAGGGTTTATAGACTGGAGACATTTTAGAACGTCATTTGTAGTAAATTCAGGGAAGCAGGTTTCATTAATACTTGTAACACTAGAAAGTTTGGCATTCGTGAGAGAATGTATGAAGGACTTGTTTAGTTTGGAAACATCAAGGGGAAAAGGAAAACTGTTCATCTGCTTACCACCAGTAATTTCTTTGAAAAGTTTCCATATGTTAGACGCATTTTTACAGGACATGAACTTTTGGTTGTAAATTGAATTCAATCTGTGCATTTCGGACTTTATAAGAATGTTAATTCTTTTCAAACCACCATTATCCTTCATTTTATATAATTTTTCTTTCTGTCTGCGAAGCTTTTTAGGTTGAGTAGAGGAGAAACGGTCAAATCTGATGAAGAGAGTTTCTCTGGGACAACAGGTGTCAAGACAAAATTTGAGATAACTTGTAATATTAGAAATTGTGTCATCAAGAGAGTCTTCTTTAAACAGGTCCCACCTTGTATCTTTGAGCATTCTTCTGAGGTTCTCAACATTCTCCATAGAGTAACATCCATGTACAGTTTTCTCGAAAAGGTGTTAAAGAGTTCTCTTGTGTAATTTTCCATAAATTTTAGGTAAAACCCGTACAATACAATGATCTGAGTTAAACAGTGGAGCTCTTTTACGAGTTTCGTATATTCCGGAGTCAATGATAAATACAAGATCAAGGGAATTATCCAGTCTGGTGGGAAAGTTAACAACATTTTCATAACCTATCACTGTGAGAAAGCTGCAGTCACATGAATTAAAATCACCTGTCACTATGGACAGGGAATTACCAAAAGAGGCGGCAGCGAAAATAGTGAATTCATCAGCAAGCATAGATAATTCTGAAGTGCTACAACAAGGTGTGATATAAATATTCGTGATATAAATGAATTTGTATTTAGATAGGTGTTTAGGTCGACATTTGACAGTTATACAGTCAATATTATCATTTGAGAATTTGAAACAGACGTTGTTGGCAACAGACCACTGAGAATTGATGAAAGTAGCGACAAAGCCGCCTCGCTTCTTCCTTGAACTACTTCTGTCTTGTCTGTACATATTGAAACCATTCAGTAAGATTAAATTATCATCATATGAGTCATGTAGCCAAGTTTCCTGAAGCGTTATTACACATGTATTACGATAAATATTTGAATATAATACAGAATCCAAATGAATAATCTTGTTCGATAATGACCTGCAATTAGTGCTCATAATCACAGGAACAGTCATGTGATGCATTGGAGTACACTTTAAGGATCTTTGCCACCCACCATGATGCTTTTTCTTAGGGTTATTATATACTCGTAAAACATCCGGTTGAAAACATTTTAAACAATCGCGAGAGTAAGTAATATGATTTGGACACATAAATGAATAATTAAAACAAAATAAATCCAAGAAATCAGATGCAATATAAGTGACGGAAAATTTTGGTAGGCCAGGTTTTAAGCAGGCCGCCAAAGTATGGTTGCACTTAACTATTCTCAATTAGCGATATGTCGTTTATTGAAATACAATGGCAAAGATGACTTGTGAATCTCTACTCACGTGGAGATTGATAACACATGAGTTGATTGTTTATAGGTTAGTTCAATAAACACAGTGTACAATATAATACATTGAATGTAAATTCTCAGACACGTATGCGTCATTCGAAAACAGCTAATTCATCATCCATGATATAAAGACATATCACGGTCTGAGAATGACGTAATTAAAGGCTTCATTTTATTTGCCATGTAAATAAGTCAGCATTATGTTTTGAGAGCTCTTATTTCCACAGTAATGCAAAGTACTAATTACTGGGATGTGTTCAAAATAACACTAAGTACCAAAAAGTTATTCATATTTCTCAGATGTTCCAAATAGAACAGAGATTTACCTGAATGTGGTTTATACCTAAATGAAGTCAAATTAAGGCAAAAAAAGTGAAATGCAAACTCTGTTAACAACATTTCGAATGATGTAGAAATCACATTGGTTTGTCTGTTGTATCACAGACCATTTGCAGAGACGTCACCTCCTGTATAAAGCGGCATATGGAATCGACAAATAGATGGTGAGCGAATCAAAGCGTTCATTTGATTTTCATTCTTGAAACATGACTCTCGTCCTTGTCAGTCAAAATCTCAGATCAATTTGACACGATGATACTTGTAAAACGTTTCAT